TCAGCATTTCAAAATTAAACTTTATTTTCGGATTTATTGCGTTCATTTTTAAAATTTTATTTCCCGACGTTTTGAACCCTTTACAAAGGCAATTTAATACCCTGTAAGGTAGCAGGAGTTTGCTTACAGTTTACAAACTCGAGAAATCGAAATAACGATGCCGTCACCCATTGAAAATTTTAATTGTAAACTCAAGTACTAGTTTACGATGTGCTCGCCGGTAAAGGAAAATATCGTCACGATACCTGCATATGAGTGTTTCATTTCAAGGATGATGTTTCTTCCTTACGTGAATTGTGATGCCCTGGGTAGGGTTAAATTAACGACATTGGTACCAGGCCTTACCATCGACTGTCGACTTGCAATTACCACCCTTCCGACAAAGTCATTTATATGATCACGGCGCGCCGTGTTCTGACATAATGTCAAATGGAACTGAATGGAGGATGGGCCAGAGCAAATGCTTTGTAATACTTACTAGGTACGACGCATCACTAGCTACAATATCAGAGGCTTGATCACAGAGATTAGAGATATCCGAAGAATTTGCTAACCACCGGAAGTTAGTAGAGAACCGAAGTAGTGTGTATATTCCCCAATCCCGGTTGGCGACAGAGTGAAAGAAATTGATGGCCATCCCTACATACTTCTTTGCATCTTAAGCCATACCGCCCAGATAAAACTGCTTTTCTTCGGGAGATTCTTTGCGCTGTGCCGTTGTCTTCCCTTTACACATGTGCCCATCGGTGGCAATGCCCGTAATAATTATACAGCGGGAACGGCAGAACGCATTAGCGACGTGTCGCGCTCGGCTCAGTGAAGAGCGTTATGCGCGCAAACGCGTTGTTGAAGCTTTCCTGCCCGTATTCCAAGCCTGGATGGATCGACGAGGAGGTAGACTCACTTACAGACTTACACAGATAATTACCGGACATGGATGTTTCGGTAATTATCTGTATAAGATCGGGCGTGAGTCGACCACGAGCTGCAAACATTGCGGAGGGAGAGATGAAGACTCTGCATCCCATACACTGGCGAATTGTCCAGCGTGGGAATTGAAACATACTACCCTAACGGGTGAAATCGGATCGGACCTCTCTCTACCAGCAGTCGTGTCGGCGAGGCTGAGTGGAGATACGGCATGGAGGGTCGTAGCCATCTTCTGTGAGATTGTAATGGTCCAGAAAGAGGCTGCTGAGCGAGAGAGAGAGAGGACGAGAGATGCTCGCGCATCTCCTCATGGCCTTTAAACATTAATGATTCTCCCCTACCTAAGACAAGGGCACAAAGTTCGCTGCGAAGGCAGCAGACCCGTGCAGGTCTTGAAGTATATATAACACTGCGGGGATGGGGTTATCTTAGCCATACGAAGGAAGGGCCGCGGTAGTGTTCCGAAAGGAGATCCCGTGACCCCTCATTTCAGTAGCTGGCGACCACTGTGGGGTTTTAGTCGGTGCGAGTCCGACATAACCTGGGTTTCCCCTTTCAGGAAGCTCAGGTATCCATAACGGATTTCCCCACAAAAAAAAAAAAGGTCTACACAACATTCGATAGACTAGACAGTTTATTGGCGGATGTGAATAATAAGCAAATAGATCTCTATTTGCCTGTATTTCACTTCTTCTCCTTTTATTTAGGACGGTTATAGTGCCTAAATCACAAATGCAGTGCCTCTCAAAAAATAAATATCTTTATTAATTTCAGTTTATCCTAAAATGATAACAGGATGGAATTGCGATTTAATTTAAAAATAACAAGACACGAGGACGTTAAGCATCTCTGAAGACAAATCCAGTCATTTCCGTAACGCGTTCCGTGACATAAAAAGATATTTAGACGTACAATCTACTCGTTTATATCCATACAAGTTGCGGCAAGGCAATGTAAGAAATCATTGCGTAGTAATATATCAAGCTTGTGGTATTCACAAGAGCGTCATGATTTGCTAAAATAAACTTGATGACGAAGCAAAAATTAATACAGGTCAGGACCCCAACATTAATTACGAACAAACACAGGAAGCGATATTACTGGTCACAGGGCAAAAGGCTTTCAATGTATCTTACATTTAAAATACATCCTTAATACTTGTTTAATATATCGGTTAAGCTGGTATCTGATATGCTTATTTGTCAATGGTTAAGCACATCTATTATGTACCCGCTTTCAAGGTTATTACTTAAGAAATAAGTATTCATTACTTTGCCTTATAGACGTAACTCCGTTGTTTAGCGCTATATACGTTATAAAGCTAAAAATAAGTGGACGTAATTGCCGACGAAATGTCGCCTATGCCTAAATCAGTAATCGATGTTATGGTTTAACGAAGCACGTCTTATAGAAGTGATGAATATTACGCTGCCTTATTTACTTTTCTAACATAAAACATGAAATCCCTTTATATCTAAAGCATAGGTATCTCATATCTCACTTTAAACCAGTACAAATAAAATAAAACTTTAGAAGGGTATTACTTCCGCTCCTTCGCAAGTTAACTTTGGATTAAATTTGAAAATCATGATCATGGCTGTAATATTTCGTATGTATAATATTTCGAAAATAACATACATAAAGATCACCGTCTATCAAACTTTGTCTTTAGCCTTCTAGATTCTCCATGTAGCAGCCCTAGCAAATTTTATGTTGAGGAAATCCTTGCCCCAATCTTATTATTTGTTATGTATTTGATTCTTACGAAAAAAGAGATTATTCGGGTTTATAATAATGTCGAAATGCCCCAAACACAAAACAAAATTTTGTATTAAACAACTGTTTTCTAAAAAAATACGTGTGTTTCATAGTTAGTTGGTAAAAACCTTTAATGAGTATATTTCAAAATAATATTAACTTCGTGAAAAACAGCGTTAAAATAAAGCAAAATCAAAATCAAAATCAATGTCTTTATTCAACATAGGAGCATTACACTCGCTTATAGATAGTCAAAACACTACCACCGGTTCGGAAAAGAAAGCCACTGTACTGAGAAGAACCAGCGAAAGAAACTCAGCGGGCTTTTTTTTTAATTTTTTTTTTTTATATATAAGCAGTTTGACATGAATTCATTAAAAATACAATATAAGGACTCTAATTGAAAGAGCCTGGAGCGATCAGTTAATTACCAGAGTGTGTTATCATTTAAATAATCATTAATATTATAGTAGCCTTTAACACACAAACGTTCTTTAACTATTTTTTTAAAATTTAGCTATTGATGCATTTTGAACGTTTTCTGGAATTTTGTTATAGTAACGTATACAATGTCCCATAAAAGATTTACTTATTTTGCGCAGTCTACTTGTGGGTAGGATCAATTTATTTTTGTTCCTAATATTTATATCATGAACATTGTCACAGAAACATGTCTTGAAAATTTATCCTTATTTTTATGGACATACAAAACATTTTCAAAAATGTATTGAGAAACAACAGTCAATACCATTATCTTTTTAAACAAGTTTCTTAACGATTCTTTGGGGCCCAGATTGTAAACTGCACGAATAGCTCTCTTTTGTAAGATAAAGATTGTATTAATGTCGGCCGCGTTACCCGAAGGCAGAATGCCATAAGATATATATACTGCATATATTGTGGAATACATTATACTGTGGAAATAACTAAAATATACCAAGCGAGCCGTATCTACATCAGTTAACTGTCTAGCGTTTTAGAATTTAATGATTGTTCCTATTGTAATTAAACTAAAAGTACTCACCGGAAATTCTGAAAACAGCTCCATCTTACGGGTGCGACTAGCGATTTGAAAGCTCCAAAGCCTCTTCACTTACAAACCCGTTACAAACCCTTGTCTCACTGTTATCCGTAAGATGGCACTTCCTGTTGTCATTTATTATATAAAAATATTTTTCTATTATATAAGATATTGTAGAGACAAGCTTGTCAATATGTCTATTATCAAATTGATCTTTTAATATCCTTTTAAATTAGTGGTAAAAGTTCAAACTGAAATTAAGCTTCTTATCCATGATTTTGTTTATTGTGTATATTTTGATATACAGCCAAGTTAAACATACAATTAAATGAACCAAGCACTTGTAAATGAAAGCTGAGGATTTAGTTCAGTGTTAAGTCAGTAGATCTCACTAGTTAACATAGCAGTAATCTCTATCAGGCAATATAGAAAAATAAAAGCATTAATGCTTGATTAATCTTGATCTTGTAATTAGATTAATGCTTGATTAATCTAATTATAATATTTAAGCAAGATTTTTTTTTTGATATCTTAGAAAATATCGCTGTGGCAAATGCATATGGTTACCATATCACCTTAGTTGAGGCGCTGGTTTTTATTATTTGCTGGTATTTCAAAGTTCAACAAAAAACATTTCAAACTATATATTTATAATTATATCAGCTTAAAGTTAAATTTATTTCGAATGAGAAATTTGATGAAAAGTGATATAAATTGATTTACCGCAGCTTCCATGAATAAATTATTACTCAATTATTTATTCATATTCAATTCTATTTCCCTAATATGCAAAACGTGAAAGCAAACTTTAACTGGTAATATAATAATCAGAATCTACATATAATTATCACGTCGAACACAATCAAACAAATAGAATCACGTCGAACAAAACCAAACAATCAGAATCTACATATAATTATCACGTCGATTAGTGCAAACACGTCAGATACCACTGACACCTTATAATAGGATAAGCACTGTTGCAAAAAATAGCAATAATATATTGCTATTTTTTGCATCAGGACTGCAAAATATATCATATGCGCACGAAGTAGGAAATGTTTATTTATTCCAAACGTCAAAGAATATTTACATCGTTCATAAGTAACGCGAAGCATTTCAATTCTACAAGACATTCTTACTACTAATGAACAGTACGCCTTCAAAGCCGTTTTACTCGTACGCAGCGATCGTAGAGCACCCCGTAGATCGTAACCCACAGCCCGTAGCTCATGACTGAATCGATAATAAGCGAATCTCGTAGACCATCGGGTCTTTTTGACAAAAATTACACTTTGGGCTCGCCGCTCCGGGCGGGGCGGGTTATCGATGGAGGGCGCGCGGCTGCGGGGGACGGGCGGTGTGGAGGGGGATGTGCGTCACCGTGATCGATGCAGCACTTGTTGCGGCGCTCAACAGGCGCACAATATCCAACATCATATCGCATAAGCGCTAAGAGCATCTTGAAACGCGCACCCCATTCCTATTGGAGCAATAAAATACATAAAAATAACGCTATTTCTTGTGTATTCAGTATGTATTTATGTCATCAATGAGTTTATAAGTGTGTTTATTTTATAATCTGTCGACGCCCTTAACGCTGGACGTAACTTTTTAGAATGATGTTTTTTTTTTATAAGTACGATCCTTAATGCCTTAGTTATTGGCAAAATATAAAATTAATCGCATATATTATCTATCACTATTTGTTGGAAGTAGAATTCAATAAAAAATATTAGTTAGAAGAACAGTGCAGAAATATTGTAAAAATATTAACTTTTATAATATATCATAACATAATGGCAGAATGACGACCCGAATGGCGTAGAGGGTATAGTGTACCTACCTCCTGCGTCGACTGGAAAAATATTGTGTGATGAACATAGTGTTTTTAGTGTCTGCATTTTGGTGTTTACATAATGTATAATATACATAAACATACTTTTCTTTTGTAAATAATATGTATTTATTTACAAAAGAAAATTATGTTTATGTATGTTTATCAGTTATTTAGTAGGTACCCATAGTACAAGCGTCACTTAGTTTGGGACTAGAGAACGTTATGTAATAATGTGTCCTAAAAAATGCTTAATATTTATATTTATAAGAATACATTTTAAACTAAACTTTAAAACACGAATTTCTATATCTATGGCACAATGATAAAACTAAACCTTAACATTATTCAAATTCATTATATAGTTCCAAAATCGAGCCTAAAGCAATAAGGGATTAAAACGAGGATTATTTGCCCATGAGGATCCGAAATAAAAAAATCTCATACTAAACGGACAGTTTATTTCGTTTCTATTTATATTAATATATTCTATTCTATTTATATTTATAATTCTATTTCTATTTATATTTATATAATAGAGATATAATATATTATCTGAAATAGCTTAACCGATGCGAACGCAATGTATCAATAAGCTTTCTTTGTTGTTTTTCTTATTTGTTACAGTGCCATGATCACTATTATAATCCTGAAATGCCATTTAGTTATACATATCTGTATACTCCACAGGGTTTTAAAAGCATGTCTTTGAAGATCTTTTGTTAATTTAACATTTTTTGCACGCAACGCGACCCAATTTTTTAGACGGCGACACCTAATTATTTTCGAAATGATATGTCTTGTACTACTACAGTATTCTATATTTGACGTACGTAATATGCATATAAATACATAGAAATTCTAGCAGACATACCATTATCGGGGACATTTTTATCATTATTTTTATAGACAACATATATAACAACAGATGTAACATACTAACATTAAACAAGGAATTTGAGTCTGAGCAAAAGTTGGTTGGGACGATAGATCAAACCGTAAAAGTTTTAGGAAACTTAATAATTTCTAATTTTATACGAAAAAGGTAATAAAATAATTTTAAATAACATTCGAAAAAAGGTAAATGGAACTATGTTTGCATATTTTACATTTAAGGTCCCACTGTTCCCTGAGGCGAAATTATACAGCGTGTCGTTACCATCGCGACAATAAATGAACATACATATAGGGGATAACTTTTAAAAGTTGTATTAAACATATAAATTATTTAAACATCAATATTTACAAAATTATTAAATTTTCCAAAACAAAGAATTTTAGAACACCCTTACCTATAAAAGCGTAACGTAAAGTTCATTTGTAAAGGTCACAAAGCATATGAATGGGTTGAATGAATTTAAAAGAGACAAAATATACTGTTAGAAGGAGAGGCTTGTAATGCGACGCTGTGGGGCGGGTTGTATAGGATGTTACAAATTTTGTACTTGTCTTTTTTACTTAATTAGTTTGTTTGAAAAATAGTTTTTTTTAATTATGGATTTTGTTTAACGTTAATATTTTTTAATGATTATTGGCAAGTAGCGTTAGACGTGTGTTCATTTATTGTCGCGATGGTAACGACATGCTGTATAATAACAACAAAAATAAATAACCTTATGATATGATACAGTATACTTAATATGTATATCTTCGATATAAAAATATATGCATTTTGCATGACAATTAGACGAAGATAAAAATTTAAAAACATATAAACTTAATTAAAGTTAAAATAAAGGATTTCACATAATTGTATATACGCTGTAGAATATTTGCAGATAAACAAAAAGCGCTCAACGCTCTCCACTCGGTGCGGAGTCTTGTTCATGTCACGGTAAGATACACGACACTTGCAAATGGAATGTGTCCGGTACGAATGAGCTGAAGAAGGCTTGACGAGGGACAAATACGTTTGCCCGCGCTACAAGCACATTCCATTATGACCGAGTTTTGGGAACGCGAGTACACTCTCTGTGCTATTCCGCTGGATTATTTGATGAGACGGCCGCTTGTGTCTCTTTTTTGAGTTTAAAATTCATTGTTATATAATTTCCATGTTTCTTTCTTAATTAGTTTTATTGAAGTGAAAACTTCTTTAGGCACAAATTAATGGAACTCGCGTCATCGTCACCGCACGCTTTCTATGAGTTATTTTTTAAAAAGGAATACGCAATAATATATTTGTAGTTATGGATATGATATAAATAGAGTTATTATCGTGCGGAGTGCATATTAAATATGTAGAATTGAATTTTGATATTGTTTTATGTTTTCCGTCGGCAGTCCCCATGTGACTGTCTATGTTTTTTTATTAATTTTAATTTTGGTGCTGCTGATGTTAAGTGAATACCGCCGCCCGTGAACATCTAAAAAACCTGAGAGCCTTTTAGATGCGTTGATAACATTTAAAAAAGAAGGCCCCGTTTACCTTACCAGACGAAAAGCTGAAGTATAACTTCCACTTCACACTGGTCTTCTTGAGGCCGTACTTCCCAAGACGAAACAGTTATCATCTTTCTTTCGCCTTAAAAAAGTAGGTAAATATTGAGATGTTTGCGCTGTAAGATTAATAGTCGCTTAGTTTAGTCAGTAAAGCATCTGGGCGCTGTACCCGGAAGACGCTAATTAGAATCTGGCAGCCCCGAAAGTTTTCAACCATTCATATTTGTAAGAAGTTTGATACTGTACAGTATGCATACCAGATGACCAAGCAAAATGCAATAAATAAACTAGAATAATGTCGAGGTTTTCGGGCCGTGAGGTTATCAGTCATAAATAGTTAATTGTGTAAGTCGATAAAGTGTCTGGCGTTACGTTGGAAAATGGAAATTTGACTTTCGCAGCGCCGAAATTTTGACCACCTATACTTCTATTTCATTCCATATTGATAGTACTCGACGACCTTCTCACTCTTTGGAATTTGAGATATGACAAATAGGTAAATGTCAACGTTTTCTACTTTCCTGTTTGAAGAGACTCGTGCACGTCAAGTAATTAAGGTTTAGTTTATAACAAATGACAACACTTGCGAAGGACTAAACGGTAAAAAAATTTTTATTACTTTTACTTAGACTCAACAACCTACATTTACATTATAAGTATTTTATTGTAAAAACAAATTATAAGACCGCAGAGTTTTTTCATGACGTTGAATAATGAATTGGCAGTCCGGTGGAAGTTTTAGTTTTTAGAAATTTTGACTTTGACTTATAACGTATTATGATAAAATCGACTGTCTATTTTTGAACGGACGAGTTTGTTACATTTTATCAACGGCGCGGCGGTTACATCAAAAAGATTAAATATTTGCCGTTTGAAACTTTTAATTACATTCTCTGTGTTAATTGAACCATGCATTCCATAGTGGCTTCACGAACCGCTCGAAACAAGATAATTTTGTACATGTCCCCAGGCGGTCAGCAAGCATTATAAATGACTCCCGAAATAAACATGCCTGAATGTAAGCGACAGTGACTGCGTAAATAAAAAATATGAGGCTAATGCATTATTACATAATGTACTTCTTGTAACACACTACATAGTATAAAAAAAATTGTCCCGCTGTCTGCCTGTCCCTATGTATGCTTAGATCTTTAAAACTACGCAACGATTCTTGATGCGGTTTTTTTTACTAGATAGAGTGATTCAAGAATGTTTATATGTATAATACATTGCACCTGTGCGAAGCCTAGGATTACAAAAAAATATGAGGCTAATGCATTACATAATATACTTCTTGCTCGTCCTTGCTTCGTACGGATCAACCATTTGCCTTAAATTTTTCCTGTCACACTAAGTAATATGAGGTTGGATTGAAATAGTTCACGGTATCATATACAAATATTTATTGTATTTTCCGTACCGATATTAGGTTCATTTCTTTTTTCTTGCTCAAATGCGACCTTTCTTTTACCATAGCATTTGCTGTTTTGAATTAAAAAAAGCTGAGTTTAACCAAGGGCACATAAAATAAATGACATAACTTCATCAAGTACTAGTTTTAAAGGCATAACGCCCAAGTACATCTATAATGAGACTAAAGAACTCTATGGAAATTTGATCCTTCGTACTCGACTATGAAAAAGAAGGTGGCAGAAAGAAAAAATATAATAAAGAATTAAGAAATATAAAATTTTATCATTAAAAAATATTTGATAGACGTTTGAAACAGTAGCTAGAGTGCAGTTGTGTGTTGAACTACGATTTGCTTTAAATTAAAGTTGAAATGTAAAATTTTAAATAAATTGACATTAATCGATACGACTGACTCGGTGAAGCCCTTGATAAGCTATTGGCTTCCGCGTCGAGTTTCGTGGCTTCGATTCCCAAACAGAACAAATATTCATGCAACCAACAGATAATTGTTCCGGATCTGGGTGTTTGTTTCCCAAGGACAGTTCACGTCAGTCAGGCGGCCTGTCGTAATAATCATAGCCATAAACGCTTACAACATGCTTCGACATGTTGTGCCGACCCAGCCTAGGTGGAATATGGGCAGAAGGGTGATGATAATGATGATAATTGATCGAGACGCCCATCCGATGAATGTATCATCGAACGAGCATCGTTCAACGATATTTATATTGAGATTTAACACTCAGGTTGTTTTTGTACTTTATTTCAGTACTAGTTTTTATCTAAGTAAACCCGTAACCCATAGATCGCAGTTCTTTTTATATCTACAGATTTCAATGTTTCTATGATATCAATCTTGTTAACAATAGTAAATTTAAAGTTTTCTTTACATTCCATAACATTTTTCTTAAGTTGGCAATTGTCGGATAAAAGAGAAGTGACTTGTAGAAATCGGAATTTCAGCGAAAAATTTCTCGAAAAAATTGGCAGATGCTGCTTAGGGGGCTGCTACCGTAGAACGATCGTAAATTTATTCCCTTTTATGAGTGATTGGCGCAATTTTAGTTTCAGCTTCGCAAATCAATTTTTTCAATACTGAACTACGTGCAAACGTTCGTACGTACACGGCACATGTGGTGTGAGTTTTGATACGATATCATCTATTATCTCATGTGGTACAGGTGTTCGATTATGCGAATAGCCCACGCAGGCGAGGTTATGAAGAAAAATGTTTGATGCTAGAACGTCTCGCGGGTTCGTTAAGCCGCCCAGAATCGATATACGGGCTGGGTGTAAATTATTAATTTTTAAGACCGGTGGTTCAGAGCTCGACGTCACGGCGTTCGTCAGAATGTGGCGTGGTTTAAAGAGACCTACAAAAATTATAAAAATACGTGCCATTAGTAATAACACGTAGAAGTATTCTAGAACTTAATATGGAACGGTGCTATTTAATTAAAATATATCTATATTGATTCGATCATCATCGATCTACGAACTACAAAATAAAAAAAACAACCACGGTTGTACAACAAGAATTGTAGGTAATATATACAAAGGGATAAAAACAAGTAAATGTTCATGAAAAAATGCGACCACATATCTATCAACTAAACTAATGAGAAATTGCGGTCAAAGTTAACAATAAATTCACATCTAACGTTTGTCTTTAGAAGGCTTTACAAATCAACTGCGGAAAAATATAACTCGGCATTTTACAGGTGACTGCTCTTCACAGTTCAGTGGATAGTAAACGTAGTACACCTGTAGTAATACTGCACTTGAACAGATAAGAAGCATATCTAGCAATGCTTTCCAGTTAATGCATGACACGTTTGCACATTATACAGTCAGTTTTGTAAAAATTCACATAAAAATTCACGAGGAACTAGTCCAGATGTTTCCTACTCTCCACTCCACTCCTACTGTAAGGATCGTTAAAAATTTAAGTTCAGATAGCATATAGATAGTTTGTATACTTACTTTACTTTGACTTACCTTATTAAAAAGAAGAACTTTTTCTGTTTTATGCCA